CGGACGTATTTACCTCGTAACATTCCCACTGAATTAGCATACTAACCTTGACATAGTCAGCATTGTATACAGACACGATTGTAGTATAATCAGGATGAACAGAGTATACCATGAACAGAAGAGCGCCCTCGTCGGCGGGTTTTGCGCCTCTCTCGATGTTACGCCGATGGCCTCAAGGTCGAGTTTCCCGTCCCCTGGAACCACGATTTTCGAAATCCTAACCGAAATAACCGTCGCATTCAGTACTTCGCCATGGCCGCCGCGATGACAGTGTGTGAAGGGTGCTCCTACTCCGAGATAGATTTTCTGCGCGAGGTAGCAACAAGCCAGGATGAGATGCTTGAAATGTGCTTCCGCCACTACTTCCTGTATGCTGCAGCGTCGCTGTATCCTCCGGCCTAGGACCTCCTGCCGGACGCACCCCGCCTCCAATTTCTGCGTGAATGGAGTACCCTCTCTACTATCGGCGGCATTTATCAATCAGGTTAGTACCTTAAAAATCCTAGGTTATTGTAGGTTATCGATTCCGCATCTAGTTCGTGTGCGCTCTATCCTGCCGTGAATATGTGGTGGAAATGCAATGGAAAGTCATGTGAATAACCATAGATATTTTCACTGTGGGTTATATTATTAGGGTAATTTTCTATATTACGTCCGCCGCTCCGACATCGTCGCCCCCGATATAGTGCCCAGGTTTGCCGCTAACAAGGGGTTTTCGAGCAATAAAACCTACATATTTGGATTGTACAGAGTGAGAGGAATCCAACGATACCAAAATCGTCAAAATTACTATATTACGTCCGCTGCTCCGACCGCCGCTCCGACATCGTCGCCCCCGATATAGTGCCCAAGTTTGCCCCTAACGGGGGGCTTCCGCGCAATGAAACCTACATATTTGGAATGTGGACAGTGAGAGGAATCCAACGATACCAAAATCGTCGATATCGGTGTGGCAAAGGTAATATAGAAAATTACCGAGCGAAATTATCGGTATAGCAATCAACCACATGGGATTTTCACAAAGCACTTTTGAGAAAAAAAATATAATCATAGTAATACGAATAGTTTGACAAATGCACAGATTAAAAAAGATAATATTACCCTGTGGTATACAGATATTGCGAAAAAAAGCAAAAATCACGTCTCACTTTACAGAAATAGCAGAAATAAGCATATTGCTATTAAACTACATTTTGGCCATGAATAAATGCACATACAGCATTACTAAACTAGTGCTAACAAAGTACAACATGTAAAACTATAGATGTTAACAAAGGGGCGATACACTATCTTTGTTTATATCATTACTACATTTCATGCGCCATAAAGAAAAACAATAATAGATAGCGACCACAACAAATATCCTGATATATATGATTGAAACCCCGTTAACTAATTATGTACATCTACATTTACATCACAGTTTCATTCCTTACTTACAATCCCAGTGTCTCCATACAACTCATTAACTACAGAACAGGTATATCACACGCCTAGATTTTATACTGTTCACAAGCCCTTATGTCCCTGTACATTGCCTCCAGGAACAGGTATATTGCATCCCCACACATGACTCCCCCGAAATGGTTATTGCATTTATATCTTATTTACATAATTCATAAGGCCCTTACGACCCTACACATTACCTCCGGGATAGGTGAGCCGTCGCACGTAAAATCCACGTCCTCAGCCTGCAGACCCAGTTTCGGATCTATGAGACAGGCCACGTTGTACGGTTTCCCGACTTCGGCCGTGAGCTCGCCAGGCGGGAGAATCGCTGAAGGCATGGCACAGTAGGATAGGTATATCTGAACAAAGCTACAGCGATGGTAATGGTAGCATAAACAGAGATGATGAGAATGGTATGACGGTAAAACATGATTAAGTGTTAAATGTAAGAATCTTAATGATAATGGTGGTGACACTAACAGTAGTCTACTTACTTATACCAAGGTATCCTTCGTAACATTCGTAGGTCGTGCGGGCTGTAGTGGAGCTCCTGATGACCCAGGGACGCTGAGTTGATCTGCTCATGTCTCTGCTGAGCACAGGAGACTGAGCAGCGTTGCTCGCCTTAGAGAGGGCGTTCATGGCAGTGGAATCGCATGACGTCTTTCCTTCTGTGCATGGCGTGTCGAGGGAGAGAGCGCGGAGGGCCGACAAGACGAGGAGGCCTACTTCGAAGTTGGTATGACATAGGGACCTCATGGCAGAGTTTTTCACTCACTCGATGTTCCTCATTTACTGTGATTTTTTCTTTTCTTTTCTTCTTTGAATGCGTACTCCCAAGGTTATCTGTGGCCTGTATTTCTTATCGAATTTCAGTTACATTGTTCATGTGATAACTCGATCCGTTTGTTTCATGTGAATTGTTTTCTCTCTCTCTCTCTCTCTCTCTCTCTCTCTCTCTCTCTCTCTCTCTCTCTCTCTCTCTCTCTCTCTCTCTCTCTCTCTCTCTCTCTCTCTCTCTCTCTCTCTTCCTTGTATCTAAATCAGATAG